TCACCCATGTGTTGAGAATGCGGATCAGAGTCTGCCCTATTGTTACGGCGTGTTGGCACACAAGAGACTAGAACATAGAAGTCATAAACTTGGTATTAGGAATAGAAACAGGATAAACGCGGCAGAGACTAGAGCTAGTTGACTGACAATAGGCCTATTTTACCACAGACGTGGTCCATGCAGCAGTTGCTTGACCATGAGAATTACGCGGGGACTTTAGCCTCAAGTTAGTCTAGCAGACGCAGAGTGTGGAAAATAATGCCTCGTGGAGCACAGTTGGGGTGGCAGAGGTCGAGTGAAATACATGAACCAGGGAGATAGCAGACGGATCCTACGGGGCAAGAGAGAGACTCTGATAAGACATAGGGAAGGAGGACGAAGTAACAATGGGGCAGCCTCTGACCAACATTCTCTCACAAGAATGAGTGGGTGAGAAAGTCAGTGTGGAGTGTGACAATTTCTCGTAAAAGCCGCTCAAAATGGCATATCATACCACATTTAAATAAGCAAGTAAAAATTGTGATAGTGAAGGCATGATACGAGGATAGAGGATTAATGATTAGCCTAGGGGGAAAGGAGAAATACCACGATTATTTAGCACAGTTGTTCCAAAACTTTTTCTAGTCGCGGCGCCCTTTTTCAATTAACATTTTTCGATGATGCCCTACCCTAAGTATGATTATTCGTAAGAGATAAAAATAAATAAAACTCGTGTATCTTCATTATTGTTTTTACATTATTAACATTTTATTAATATTCAATGATTAATGTGATGAATGAGCCTACAAATCACTGCAAATTTTCTTAAATCGTGGAATTAAACTGGACACAGCCACCCTCATTTCCTTTTCCACGCTGATTTTTGCTCTACACTTGTTTTTTATAACAGCGACCACCAAAAACCAGCTTCGCACAAATACGTCGAAAATGGAATTAGAATCCGCTGAGCCTTATCACTTAGAAGGGGATATTCATCTTTTATTGAAATCTAAAATTCTGTCAATTTCAATTTATCAAAGACAACGAACAAGAACTAATATAACACTAAATAAATTACAATATGAACTTATTTACTAATTTATGTCACTGTTTATTTATATATGAAGCGCTGAGTTTAACTTCATTAGACAGACTGAATCGAACTGGCAACGCTTGCTTATATACTTTTCGCAAGATCTTCCAGAACATTCCAAATCTGTCACGAAGGTTCTACGCACCTCGACGTGTCTAGTGCGATCATATGGCGCAATCGAGAAGAAGCAGCGTTTCCTCTTACGTTTTTGTTTAGTTAGGCCGAATATCTGGGTTAAATTAATTATGAAGCTTTTACAATATTTCGCGGCGCCCCTGTAAAGAGGCCACGGCTCCCCGGGGCACCGCATCGCACAGTTTGGGAATCACTTGTTTAGCAAACAATTCGTCGAAGGATCGGCTTCATTTGTCTCTTTGACGAGTTGTGGTGTGGTACTAAGAATGGCAAGACTCGCAGACGATGCAAGTGAAATGTCTGGGAATGTTTCACATCCACGGTCAAAATCCGGAAATGATCATGCATACTATGGACTCCGGACTAGGTAAGTTCCTCAAAGTCTTACTAGTAATATGACCGAGGCTCGAAAACAAGGTCAAAATACTTCTATACAATAAGAGGAGGCTGCGACCATACAAAAGGCCACACAATCTTGGTCTTCATAGCTTTGAAAAATTCCTAATGTTTTAAAATTAGCACGTTAAAAAATTAGTTTCAAATAAATGTGAAGGATGACGAGCGGCAACAGGCCCTATATTTCGAAGTCCTTTGTACCAGTTGGATGCATAAGAGAAGATTATTCAGAAAATAAGTCGCATGCAGGAACAATTATAATTTGCCAGTCCCATCACCACCACCCGTCGAAGACCAAAATAATTCAACAAATTAACTCGGATCTTTTGCTGTAATGGCGTCCAATGTAAATGATACAAAGAAATATGATATACGGATGACAGGGTGATTATTATAAAAGGAAAATAAGGAATGACAGAGATGTACAAAAGCCAATAAGTACACTCCTCTGGAAAGTAATTTAGAAATCGCGACTGAAATAAAGAAAATGGAATATTCATCTGAGGATGAGAGAACAAGCAACGATCTCAACAAATCTGCCTCAATAAAGTAAGAGAATTTAATGCGTAAAATGTAGCGAAAGTGACCAGTGGCGAAACGGGAGGATAAATCAGCACAAGAAACAAACAGCACTAAAGACTCATACAATGAATATACAAAGAAGGAAAATATTAAAGAAACCACTGCGATCATTGCTGAAATAAATCTATAAAATAGGTAATTATAAGAATAAAGAATGAGCGAAAATCTTAAGCAACAAAGGAACTATAAGATCAGATATAGAAAAAAATGGATCAAGGGGAGAATAAACAACAAGTACGAGGCTTTCAAGGAACAATGGAAAATCAAGAGAAGATCATTGTATAGAGTCGGATCGAAACAAGAAAATAGCTTAGATGATTGCCATTATGGATAGGAAAATGGGACCAGATCAACTAAAAATCCTATTTAGAGATAGGGTAGAGGCCAGAGGTATAAGTTCTCAGCTCTCTCATAGTAAACAAGGGTAATCATGTAAGTGGTCCGCAATTTCAATGGCTGACAGAGATAAAAAATCTAAAGCATGCTAAAGTGGGGAGGAATTTGAACCACAGAGGAGTTAGTTGCATAAGCCTAAAGAGCCTCCGGAGCTTGAAATTGATAGCTCCTCTAAAAAATTGGGCTGTATGCAATATCCTCAAATAGAGGGTTAGTCTAATCGAAAAATAATCATCAGAAGTAACAAGCCTTGGAGATCATCATTACACAAATGGATTTTAAAAGCATATTAGGGCATTTCTCACCAATACTCGGATTTTTATAGGCGTAGGTGACAAGTACGCGTCGAAGAGCAGATAATCCCTCTTTAGTATGATAGGCAGGGTGCTCGGGAAGGGACCTATGCAGGTCGCGCTCGATTTCGTTGATAACGTGATTTTCATTGTGCTCGGTCTGTTGAACCAGCCCATCGTAATAGCCCGGATTGGCGCAAAGCTGTGTAAAATATGAAAACACACAGCAATTAAGCCTAGATGGTACCTTTCAACTAGTATCGTTATAACAAAATCTTAATTGACTAATCTAAGCATGTCTATATTAAATTGGCTCATACATGTCAAAATAAAGCTGAAAGTTGGCTTTAATAAGGAGAAGAGCAGGCCACTTTCAGAATTTATCCAGGCGAGTTATCGAGTGTCCTCACGGATTTTTAGATAGTTTAGATCAAGTATATCACCCCAGATCTAAAATTAATAATTATTACAAAAGTAAGATGAATTTAAAGATAAGAAACAGACCTGCAGGCCCATGAGGCAGATCCGAACAATAGACTAGAGCACGATCAGCTCCTCGAAGGGGAGGGGAGCATAGTAAACAGTATGTGTGATGACGTTGCGGTAAATTCGCCAAAAGGGCACATCTCTTGTGGAATATAAACATGTCAGAAGTTGTGATAGGACGAGGGTAAGACTAGAGGTTAGGAAATGGATAGAGGGACCAGGACAAAACGAGGAGTAACAGCATAACCGTTTCGACAGAAAGTTGGTCAAGGGATTGGCTTTACTTGGCTCTTTGACGAGTTGTAGCCTGGTTGCTA